TCTAAAACTAAAATCGAAATACGCGGTCGCCTTATAGCGCTATAAGCGCTTGTCGTTTCGAGCCGCTGGTTAGGCCTGACTAAGTGACGTCACCCACGGAGCATGCAGGCCTTGTTTTATCGGTGGTAACGGTTCGACTCCATCTTCCGTGATAATGTGACCCAGATAATTTATTTCTTCACGTAGAAAAACGCATTCACTTGGCTGTAATTTTAATTGATTTTCGCGTAATCTGTTAAATATATCGATTGATTTGTTATTATGGTCATTCAATGAGTTTCCGAATATAACAATATCATCCAGGTAAACAAAACATTAAACACCCTGTAATCCTGTCAACACATTTGACATTAATCGGGAAAACAAAGGGGAGAATTTTTTAACCCAAAGGGAAGGCGTTTATACTGATAGTGTCCATAAAAAAAGAAAACTGTCATTGGTTCACTCCCATCGCTAAGTGGAATCTGATGAAATCCGCTAGCTGAGTCGATAACTGAGAAATATTCAGATTTTCCTAGACTATCAATGATTTCAGTGATATTTGGGAGTGGATAAGCATCTGATTCGGTAATGTCATTTAATTTCCTATAGTCGACTACTGAACGCCAACGTTTGTTTCCGTCTTTATCTGATTTTTTGGGAACTATAAGTATAGGAGAGTTGTAAGGAGAGTGGCTTGGTTCAATAATGTCATCGTCCAGAAGTTTCTCAATTTGATTTTGAATTTCACCTTCCTGATGCTCTGGGAGTCTGTAAGGCTTAACATAAACAGGTTTTTCAGTACTAAGTGGAATTGAATAAGTGATAGCATCGGTACATGTCAGTTTATCGCCTTCTGAATGAAATAGATCATTGAAATTTTGGCAAATTTGTGAAATTGACTCTTCCTCTTCAGAATTCATATGAGTTGTATCGAGTTGAGCTCCAAGCATGGCAATTCGTTCACGTTGATAAGATTACAATTATGTTTATTTCCGCGAAACGGTTGTCGTCTTTTCACTTCTTGGTTTGCCTTGAATTTTTGATTTTCAGTTATTCCCATTTTCTGATGTGAATTCGTATTTTGCCTACCGTCCACATATCTTGAACTCTGTGATTCTTGATAACTTCTTTCAAATTTGATGTGCTTAAGTAACTGTAGTAGTTCTGTTTTTTTCTGAATTTCTTCGTAGCAAATCTGTTTTTGAATATTGTATGGGAGTCCCAGAATTAGGAAGGCAATAACAGATCCTTCAGATAAAGAGTTATCAGCATAGTACAAAAGATGTTGTTTTTCATAAAATTATTCCAATACTGAACCTTGATGAAATCTGTATGACAATGCTTTGTTCCATTTTGTTACTTGGTCTCCATCAAATACTTTGATAAATGATTCCCGCCATTCTGCCCAAGTAGAAAATCTGCTTGACTCGCATAATTTTTGTTCATACCACTGCAGAGCGATACCATCTAAACAGCATCTCATATTCAAGATTTTTTCTTCATCTGTAGTCCATTTATTGTGAGAAGCTATCATTTCGAAAGTTTTCATCCAAGAGTTTGGGTTTTTCCCTGTTCCATCAAATGAGTTGATAGTTTTTTGCTTTGTCGAATCCTTAATGAGTGACAATAATTTCGACATCATCATATGAAGCTCAGATTTACCAATTAATGAACTCCGCTCTTCATTCATGTGGGTGTCTCCAGATTCCTCTCCTTTATCATATTTGATTTGGATCGGGTTATTGTTTGCCGACTGCGCCATATTTGTAACAACTTTATATTCAAGTTCGGGAATAATCCCAATATAGTTCTTATATCTTTATTTATCAATTCTATTCTTTACATGTTTTTATATTATCCATGGATATCATCATCCCTGATACAGGGTGACAGACATATACTGAGGAATATTGAATTCCTGATCTAATATTCCCACAAAGAATGATGCTCTATTTGAACTGGTGAATAATTTGAAAAAAATTCTTGAAAATAATGAGAAAGCAAATGCTGTATTCCTAGATCTCGCAAAGGCTTTTGATACCGTACCTCAAACAGCTTATCGACACGCTCGAGAAGTATGGTGTCCGAGGTGTGGTATTGGAAATTTGTAAGAATTATTTGACTAATAGAAAACAGATAACTCAAATTAGAAATGTCAAAAGTGTCCCCCTTGGAACTAAAATAGGGATCCCGCAGGGAACCGTGCTTGGCCCACTTTTTTTATAACATATATCAACTCACTGCTACACCTCAATATTAATGGTATCTCTATCTCGTATGCAGATGACACAGTTCTACTTTTTGAAAGTGAAACCTGGGAAAGAGTTGAAAATATGGTGTCTCATGGATTTCAACTGGTGAAATGTTGGCTCGACAAAAATAAACTAACTTTGAATTCTGATAAAACATATTATATTGCATTTTCAATGACAAATTCAAACAGACTACAATTCAATTCCATCACGATAAATGATCTCAAAATGAAAGAAACTGATTCCATGAAATATTCAGGTATCACCATAGACAAAAATCTGAAATGGACAAATCATATTAAAGAGTTAACTAACAAAATAAAGAGATTGATCCATAAGTTTTATATAATACGCAAAATCTTAACAAAATCACTCCTTTTACAAATTTACAAGTCCCTCGTCGAATCACTTCTGGATAATGGAATCATTGTGTAGGGGGGACTCTATGAGAATGCATTAAATAAACTGAATGTAGTACAAAACTATATACTGAGGATAATATTATTCAAAATTAGACTATTGTTGTGTTGCGGGTTGAATAGGGTGAGCTGAATGATACTCAGGGTCCTGTTAGCTGGTTTTATTTACTATAGAGCAGTTGATGTTGATGGCGATGAATACAGATTGTGTACAGATGTTGAAAATTATAGATGTTGAGTGTTACAAGTCTCGTGGCAAAATCCCAGCATCGCGCTGGCTTTCTTAGTTTTATACGCGACGCTTTCGTCATAGAAACGACGCTCTCATGACATCAATTTTGACCAATCAAAATAAAGAATACAATTTCACTAATCAATGATAAATTCACCTGACAATACAATGTTCTAAATAGGATTTTGTGTTGATCAGCAATATCGCTATCTTTTAATTGGAACAGAGAATTCAGCAGAAATGTAATGTTATACCTAACATTATATGACATATATATAAATCCAAATTGTTTATCAGACAACAAATTGAATTTATTTATGAATGAGGTTATTCTGTTTTTCAAAAGTTTTTCGGATATTTTTGCCAAATGGCTAATAAGAGAAATTGGTCTATAATTACTGACGGATGTTCTATCACCATCTTTAAATACCGGCACTACGACAGACCTTTTGAAGGCATCAGGCCATATTCCCTTTCCAATGCTCTTGTTGATTATGTATGCTAGTGGAGTTGAGATATGGCATGATATTTCCTTCAGGAGTTCTGTTCTTATTTCGTCAATTCCAGGAGATTCATTGTTTTTAAACTCATTTATCAAATTATATATTTCATTAGCGTTCGTAGGGATTAGCAGCATAGTATTGTGCAAGATCTTCGACGTGCTCTCAAAATGAGGGTCTCTTTCAATTTTGTCAGCAAGAATTTTCCCAAAACTCACAAATTTACGATTGAATTCATCTGCTTTTCCGTTATCGCTTGTTAGTAGTTCCCCGTTTTCATTTGCAATAGTATCAATATTCTTTTTTTGTTCCCTTCCACAGAGTTTCCGTACCATGTCCCACAAATATTTTGTATTTGATTTATTTTGTATCAGCTGCTGCTCATAATAATTCTGTTTGTTTTCATTTAACTTGTTTGTAAGTTTATTTTTATATGAATTATATTCGTTTTTCAGAATTTGATTTTCTGGATGAATCTTTAGTTCGTTGTTCATTTTATTCTTTTTATTTATCATCCACAATATACTGTTAGTGAGCCATGGTGCAAAAGGCGTGTTTTTACGCTTAACTAACTTCTTTTCGGTACAATTTTCAATTCCTAATTTTATTTCATTGATGAAGGCATTCGTTGCGGCATTTGGATCTTCGTGTGTATAGACGAGGACCCATGAGGTTTCTTGTATAATTTTGGATAATTTGTTTTAGTTAGTGTACTCTTTATAATTATTTTAGCGTTGATTTTTCCACTTTTCCAATATAATTTGTAAAATGACAGTATCATGATCAGTGATTGCAGATTTGAGTATTAATGGAATAGTCATATCAACTCTCTTTTGTTTTTAAAAAGATATGATCTAAACATGTTTTTTTCCTTGTAGGATTATTAATCATCGAAATGTATCCGAATTCATTAAGTATGTTCATGTATTCAATTTTATTTGCACTGTTGTCTAGAATGTTAATGTTCATGTCACCAATGAAAATGTTATACTCATATTTTTGTGTTTGATTTTCTTCGAAATACTCTTGTATACTTTGGAGAAAGTCATTTATATTAGAGGCTGGCGAACGGTAGCAGGCTGTTATACACATATTTTCGTGTCCGATATCCGCCCTAAGAAAATTTATACCACGTTTTGATATTATTGAATGTTGGAATGAAATATTGTTTTTCAGGTATATCACTGTCCCGTCATTTTGATTGAATTGTCCTTGATTGTGAATCAAGTTATAGCCTAATATATTATATAGCTCTGGATTTGCTAGGTGCCAGGTTTCAGTCAGTACTAGACAATCGAAATGGAAGTTAATGTTATCTAGTAATATTTCAAACTCGTCAAAATTTTTACTGAGACTCCGTATATTATTATGTAATATGGTGAAATTATGGTTTTTATTAACATCTAAGACTTCCCTACACTCATGACATTCATTTAAATTGAAGGTATTTATACTATTCACTTCGAAATCGCGTAAATATGGATCCATATCAGTTGAAATGAAAATAAGAATAATTTAACTTATCTACAACGACACGGAGGACAAAAAAGCTCAATAAAAAAGAACTAGCAATAAATAAATCAGAAGTGTTAGTACATGGGCCTACATATATATTCTATTTACTGTTTCCACTGTCAGAAATAGAATTCGATCTGGTTGGATATTTTTCTCTTGCCTGTTGGACGATGGTGGTAGATTTCTTTGGCTTATTCACCTTGAAATCCTGTTTCTGCGTCAATCTGGTGTCGTTTTCTCTCCTTTTTTGAAGTTCTTCAAGTTTTTGGGTGGTATCTCCTGTGTGTATAGGTGCTCCTGTAAATTTCGATGTCGTATCTCTTTTAGTAGATTCTCTGGTATCCGATGGTGTTTGAGGAGCACTTTTCGGCTTTTTGTCTTCACCGAGATCGATATCTATCAATTCTTCCGCTGTGTATGGCTCATCTCCCACGTACAATTTGTTCCCTTTTATGTAACTTTTTTCAGTTGTCGTTTTCCTACAGTGAAGCAGCCCTTTCTTCAATACCTTATTTTCTTCCCTTTGTTGCTCAGTGAGATCGTTTGCTATTGCTATCCCGGTATTCTTCAGCTTTGAGGAGTTTTGCAGTATACTTTTCTTTTTCACAATTGACAATAGTTCGACTTTCAATGGTGCTTCGTTATGTTTGCCTAGGGAATATATATCACTTATGTCGTGTTCTGTTAAGGTGACACCGAGTAAATTCTTGATTAATTCGCAAAAAAATGAAACACTTCTCTCGCTGGGGTGGTTATTTAAGCCAAATAGGATGATATTTTTCTCCTTACTGTTTATTTCTTATGTTTCAATTTTCTCCTTCAGGATCCTGTTTTCTTTTTCAACTTCACTCACTCGCTTTTTTATTGTTTCTATATTCAATTGAATTCGGGTTTCAGACGCTTCGATTGTGTTCTTTACTTCTATTTTACTCAATTCAATTTTTTCCGAAATTAGTGCTAGGAGTTCGTTGTTATCCATTCTCTAGTTTTATATTATTTCTTGCCCATGGACTATATAATGGATTTCTTGAGCACTTTGTTTAGGACAGTTGAAAACACGTCTAGACGGCAGGACGGATGAAACTGTGAACTTATGCTCTGAGATTCATGTCCAATCATTGTGGAATAGAGGTCCTGCTGAATCTGTATTATGCAACTATTGGCTGTCACCTGCGCTATGGAATCCTAAATTGGGGTTCGAGCTCTTCTGTTGAAAGAGTATTCATTCTACAAAAACGCGCGGTCAGATTAATTGCTAATTTAGGATGGCGACAATCATGCAGAAACTCATTTAGAGAGCTGAAAATACTCACAATTGCTGGTCTGTATATATATGAGATATGTCTCTGAGTTTATAAGAATAAAGATAAATTTAGGGCAAACCAACAAGACCACCCTTATCCAACGAGAGCAAGAGGTTTGCTGATAGCAAACCCTCATCGAACCTCCCTTTATCAGAGGAGTCACCTCTACCTTGGACCCAAACTATTTAACAAGCTAGATGTTTCTATTAAGGATTCAAAGAATATCTCCATATTCAAGAGACAATTGAAAAAATATCTCATAGAAAGAAACTGCTACACCGTTGACGAGTTTTAGGAACTAGCGATAATCAATAAATCACCCATCTGTATATGTCCAAATTAATAGGTGTCAAGTTTTGTCGTTTTATATAAAATGTTTGTTTTTTTTTTCTATACATATATGTATCTCCTACTCTCTTATTTATACACAGACGTATTCCTCGTTACTGTACGTAAATGTTTATTGTAACGCTCTCATACGGTTTAACAAGTGAAGTAAATATAAAAAAAAAAAAAAAAACGTTTTTATATTTTTCTGAAATTGAAATACAGTTGAATTTGTTGCATAAACAGTACCTTTTACTATGGACATTCGTTGTTTTGAAAGTTTTGCTAAGTGTCAGTGTAAGTCTACTTTCCACTTCTCAATCTGATTATCATAATATTCGGCATCTTCCGAATCTAAAGTCCCAAATAATGTTTTAAAAACTGTTCCTACTACATTAATTAGCCCTCTTTTGTCAATTTTTCTTGAATGATAATTTTCTACACCTAACATTTTCATTATCAATTTGTCTTTGGTTTGAATATTTTTCATTGAGTATTCGATAGCAATTTTGAAAGAATTACACTCGGTGGCTTCGACTTTATACGTTTTAGCCATACTACAAATATTTTGAATTCCTCTACTGTAAAAGTTGAGTGATTTAAATTCATCGTAATAATTTTCGAGTTCTGAATATGTTAATAATTTCCATTTATCATTGAATAGGCTTAGTTATCCAATTTTTTCGTGATAGAGGCCAGGACTGCTTTCGATAGGAGTGATATTATAATACGTACTTGGTATATTATTGGCTCGAGAGGTATGAAATATAACATGAATGAGGCTCCAATGATACATGAACTTGAGGGAACACATGCTGATGGGATTTCTGTAACAAAAGGAATAATTCATTCGAAATTATTTTTGGGGTAAGTCATTTAATCGCTTCAATCTATTCATGTGAACTTTGGTAGGTTTACGTCTAATCATAATGGTACAATTCACGTCGGAGTCTATAGATATAACTTGGTACGGCACTGTATACCACGGTTGTAACTTTTTCGTTTTTCCTGAAATAATTGATTCATCCTTTAATAAAACCTTGTCCTCTACTTTGATATCTAGAGACTTTATGTTTTCGTCATAATAATCTTTTGAAATTTGTTTTTTCTTGTTTATAGTTCCTCTAGCTATTTCGTGTGAATGTTGCATACGTGATTTCAATTCATTATAATAATCATCGTAGCTGTGAAGTAATTCAGGAGATTTTGTTGAAGCTGATGGAATTTCGGCTTTGTGTCCATGAAGTAACTCAAAAAGAGTGGAATTTGTCGATGTGCTGGGAGTGGTGTTGAAAACGAATGTTGCAAAAGGCATGGGTCCCAATTGTTCATATCCTTGTTGATGTAGTTTCGCAAATATTCGACAAGGGTTCGATGTGATCTTCCTAAACTACCGTTACTTTGAGGATGAAAACTGGTACATTTAATTTGTTCAATCTCCGATAAACGACAAGTCTCCTTGAAAACTCCGCTAAGAAAATCTGTTCCTTGATCGGTAACTAAAAATTTAGGTGTACCGTATTGGCAAATGATTTTTGTCGTAAAATTATATGCTACCGTGTTTGCTGTCTGGTTTGGAATAGGAATAGCAATGGAAAATTTGGATAAGTCATCTTGAAATGTTGACAAGTATTTGTTGAAATTTTCTATCTCGTTGAGTGGTCCAACTATGTCTAAATGTATCTTTTCGAATGGTCTAGTGGAAGTCGTCGTTATTGTCATGGGTAATTTGGTTTTTCGCGAATTTTTATCCTTTTGACATTTTTGACATGTTCGGATGAATTTTTTGATATCCTTGTACATTTTGTGCCATTTATAGTACTGTTTGATTCTCTCGTATGTTCGTTGAAGTTGTCCTCATAAGGGATTAATGTGATTTTCTGTTAGGATTTTGGTTATTTCGTCCTGAGTTAAGTCTCTTTTCACGTTTTCATGACATATTTTGATATTGATTCCAGAATTTATGGAGACATATCGTAGCATTATTCGTATGGTCTCAAATCTCAAGTGTTCATTAGCAATTAATTTACTTGATATAGCAAGGTTTTCGATTTTGTGGGATAAACAAAACTGTTTCAAGTTCTGTAACGAAATGAAAACGTCTTCATGATCTGCTTTATTGAGTTTAGATTATTTCATGATGAGATAGAGGAGATATCGTCCATCTGAATTGAGGTATGCGATTTCATGTAAGTTTCGTCCTTGAGAGTTTAGTTCCAGTTCGCTGTCGCGATAGTCGGGTGAAGAGGTGAATATTTTGTCAGTGAAATAAACGATATCGTCTTCTATTGGACAATCGTCAATGCTGACGTCAGTATCAGTAATATTTTGGTTATTTATGATTTCAGTTTCGATTTCTGTTAAGTATTTTTCATAGGTAGAGTCCTGTTCTATAGTCATAGTACGTATTCGAGAGAGGCAATCAGCATTTGTGTTTTGGATTCCACGTTTAAATATGATCTGATATTCGTATTCTTCTGAACGTAGTCTGAATCTGGTGAGTCTGGAGGATGGATCTGAATGGGAGAATAGATATGTGAGCGGCTCATGATCCGTCACAATTTTGAATTATTTTTCAAATAGATAAGGCCTAAAATGTTGAACTGAACAAGTTAGGGAACACACAAATCACCAGAATGTAAAATCGCAGATCCGTAATCCATCAGAATATACATTTTCAAACCAGTAACTTAACAGAACAATATTTTACAGGAATCGTATTTATCTCTACTGTAGATGCACAGAACCGCAATTCCTCAAACCGTATTTTTTATACTATACATGAGCATACCAGACAATAACAGATTGCGAATGCGCAGATGTGTATTTTTCTATAATAGCAATATCGCAGATCCGCAAATATACAGAATCGAAAACTAACAAACCAACATCACAGCGGAATGATATTTCGTCAGAATCATAACAACACAGACCGTAATTCGTCAGAATCGCAGAATGACAGACCGCACATTAGCAGACCGTACTTTGTCAGAATCGAAATACAACAGACCGTTTATCGACAGAATAGTAAAATGTCAGAACCGTACATTGACAGAATAGCAAAAAATCAGAACAGCATATTCACAGAATCTCAAAATATCAGAACTGTGAATTGAAAGAATCGTAAAATGCTAAAACCGTACATCGACAGACTCGTAATACAACAGACCGTATTCCATCAGAATCATATTATATCAGAACGTACAATGACAGAATGTACTTCATCAGACTGTAATGTCATATACTGAATTGTGATAGAATCGTGAACTATCAGAACCGTAATTCAGCAGAATAGTAAAATGTTAGATCCGTAAAATAACAGAATCGTAAAATTCAGAACCGTACATCGACAGAATCGTGAAATATAGGAACTGTACGTGAGCAGAACCGTAAAAAATCAAAACCGTACATTGGCAGAATCGGAATTCATCAGAATGTAATGCAGCAGAACCGTAAATTGACAGACTGCAGAGAGGCCTACTAGCCACGCGCAGAGCGAACGCCGGTCACAGTGTTGCCTGCTCTCACGTCATGTGGGGATTCTACGTACACTTTCAGTTCGACCTGCTTTTATGTTCCTATTGCTCTTGTACACTCGAGAATGAGATCGTTCATATGATATGAAGTGATGAATGACCTTATTTCAATATGAAATATATGAACGTCACCCAACTTTTTTGCTATATGGAGAAGAAAGTGTTTATTTGAAGTATTTTCTCAAAAACTACAATTCCTTGAAGTCAGTTGGGAGAAGGGTACGAGAAATAGGTGTTTGGCATGTTACAAGTGTTTGGGATCACACGTTAAAAGGTAAGGCCCCCGTCATTCCTTGCTCGCACAAGACTTCCGAAGACTTCTGAGGGTTGCTCGTAAGGGAGCAACCAAATGACGGATGAAACAATTTTACAATTTTTTTTACAACAAACTTTGGAAAGGAAGATAACGAACAAAAAAGAAAAATAAAGGAATCCGCTTGCATTCTTCTAAACGGAGACAATAGCATTGCTTCCTGTTCAGTTG